GCAATCTACATACAATGCGTGCCAACTGCGTGTGGCTACGCGCGTGGCCACAAACGTGGCTACGCCGTATGATCTCCGTTTGTCCTTCCTTCGTCTTTCGTCTATCTCTCGTGCCGTCTGGCTTGCGCCGGCCCGGCTCCTCCGGCTCCGGCTCCGGCCAGACACGAGAAATTCCAATAGCAAAGCAAAATCGATCGATTTTTTTGCGAGAGTTAATCAGCACGACGACATCGACTTTGACTGAAGAACGTGGAAATTCGAAGATACCCTCGTCTCCTTGCTTTTTTTAGTTCTCCGGTGGTTCTCCTTTGTGTCTACCTTATTCCTGTTCACCGCTGTTTCATGTGTGAAAAATACGAAAGTATCTGTTGGTGATTTTCAGAACGATTAAGCGAAAAACGATGCAAGAGGAGAAACCAAGTACAAACACGCGTACGACTTCCCACTGTTCGCATCTAATATGTTGATTGTCTCTTAACAACGAGCGAATAGCGAAAAGCACGCGGCCCGAAATATAGGTGTATTATTACGACGACGATATCTGTGTAGACCAGAGCTCGGCAAAATGTCCATGCGACGGCCGATTTTCGACTATCTCCGCCCACCGCTATTCCCTTTACTTCGCCGCTCCGCGCGCCACCTATACGAGCTGCCGCTCGAGTCTCAAGAGCGTGTTTCCGATAGCTGTGTTTTCACGTCACCCATGACAAGTTAACTATTGTTAACGCGTTTTTTTTCAAGTGGTATCCCCAGTAAGCCTAATCCACTGATGACTGCGTTAACAACCCGTAACTAATTGAACAGAAGCGAAATAAAATATGTTAAATGAAGAATATTCAATTCGATTTTCGGCGTCTTTTATTTTATAAAGAGTGGAAAGGTCAATTTGGATATTGCATGTAGCGAGCCGCATGAGACGTGGCAAGGAACCGTCGCTTAAAGAAGAACACTTCTCATTTTTTATAAACTTCATTTTTGAAAAATGAAGAGGCCTACTGGGGATACCGCTTAAAAAAGAAAAACGCGTCAACAATAGTACCTCATGAGTGACGTGAAAACTATTGGAAACACACTCGAGCCTGAGGCTCGAGCGGCTTGTAGGCAGCGCGCGGAGCGACGAGGTAAAGGGAATAGCGGTGGGCGGAGATAGTCGAAAATCGGCCATTGCATTTTGCTCTGGTGTAGACAAACAGATACTCGGCCTTTTCACTCATTTTACATTAGTCAGGTCAGGTAAGAAATTGAGTTTTCCTTCTTGCTTGTTTCTTAGGTAAGCAGGCAGGCAGATTGCTTTGTTGATAAGTTCTTTCGAACCATGTTCCTTTTCTCCCACGCATTCTCGAGCCATTATCTAAATATAAAAATTACAATTTTATGAGAAAAAAAAAAGAAAATTGTCTTCTCCCTAAGTAGAGATTTCACTGTACATTGTGGTATATATTTTCTATTATTTTATGCGACATTGCGTCGTAATTATCCAATAGACAGGGATTAAAACCTCTCAGGGACTTATCTGCTTTTCATACGTACTTCGTTCGCATACGTTCGCCGCGCGTTACGATTCTTGGATATACCGGCCTGCCGGTAATCCTCCCCCCCCCCCTCCCCATCAATCAAATCAAATTGATCGCTCATATAAAAGTATCCCTTTTTCTCGATAAAAGATGCAAACTGGAAGATCGTAATTAATCATACATAATGTAATTCACTCATCAATATAATTGCAAACTTGTTTGACTCTTTGCTCTCAGTTCGATGAATGATCTGCACAAAAAGAGACGTGCCACGTTATTCTGGACTCATTCCATAGTGCCACAACATGTAGTGTTGCTCCGTTCTCGAGCTTATTCCGTTCTCCAGAAAGCCTTTTATATGCCAAACTATTTCGTTTCAGTGATAGATTTCCAGGCGTAGATGCCGCAAGATGAATTTTGTGACATTATAACTTAGATAAGGAAGACGCAGAAATACTCTTTTACAAAGGTTTATCAAGGTCTTTTTATAAAGGTCCTAGAATTGAATCTCCAACAGGTGAAAATCTTGCATTTTTTACCAGTCTTAAAGGAGCAAACGATAGACTTAATCTTGTCATGATTTTGTCATGCTGAAAATATTGACAGATAAAAATACGACTGTATAAGTCGCGTGAGTGAGCGTGAGAGATGCAGGAGATGCAAGCTGGTAAGCGTACATTTTTACACGCTACGAAAATTGGCTGGCCCTCATTTGCATGCGTTGCACTTGGACCGACGCGACTCCGCGAGTCGTTACGGTTCATCGATCGAAAGTATAACGCTATTTATGATAGGGGGAGAAGATACACAGCGCCCGTGCACATGCTGGATGTATTCTATAGTCCAAGCTTAATTACGCGTTGTGGAGATACAATTGTTGCGTAACAATGCCGCGTAATTCTTAATTACTCTACGAATTTTTCAGTTGCTCCAAAACGCGAGACTAGGATTGTGACATATGTATGTGGCACCGCCATGTGGAAGCCAAGTAGTAATTGTGAGACGCAACGGGCGCAGAACGCGAAATGTAAGAAGCAATCTACCGCAAACTGCATGTATTATGTATTGTTTACACAGACGACACGTTGGACATAATTTACATTGTGTCCGTATTGTGTACACGTAGAAATACGTGGGTTATTATTATAATTTACGCGTGAACTCTGCCTGCCCAACCCTGCACGAAACTGACGTTATCGCGTTTCGCGCCACGTGAGTTGCCAATGAGTTGCCATGTTCGTGTTTATATAGGGTGTCGCGGAACAACAATTTTTACAGAGCTCGCGGAGACGTAGAGCGGATTAAGATAAACAGAGAGAGAGAGAGAGAGAGAGAGAGAGAGAGAGAGAGAGAGACGCCGAGATGGATGGAGATTGGAGAAACGTCGCAGCCTCTTGGACCACAGCGCGGCCCAGTCGATCTATAGCAAGTCGATGATTGCCGGTGCAACATACGCGGCGATGGGAAGGACAGAACGCGTCGCTAATAACGCTTCTCCAATCATCCATCTCGGCGCGCGCGCTCATTTCTCGCGTCCGATTTCTGTAACTAATAACTCGATAATTAATTACCGTAAATATTGCAAAACGGTATGGGGACTTTTAGGTTTGTTTTAGCCCGTTACTTCCCAAGCGGACTTTTTATAGTCGATTGGTTTTTGGCTCAGAAAAATGATAAAATCATATGAATACTAACAACAAAATATGCTTTCCCACGGAAACAAAAACTGATCTTTCAGAATCTGGAGTGGATAATTTTGGAATTATCAACTGAGAAAATTAAACATGGCGGCTCAAAGTTGACAAAAACTTTTTCATCGACTATGACGGCTTTTTATGACGTGGAGAACTTTGAAAAATTTTGTCCAGAGAGCAATTGTCAGGGACAATTGAATTGACAGAGTTTGGCTACTCGACGAACATAATGACGATTATTGATTCTATTTTTCAACCGACTCAAGATGGCGGATGCAATATGACGTCCAAATACGCGAAAATCATACTTCATTTATATATGTGTGTGTGTGTGTGAGTGGTCATTTCTTATGTTTTTGAGGTCGCTGAACACGAATCTTAGATCCAGATTTCAATTTTGCAAAATGGCGGATGCAATATGGCGTCCGAGGCGCCACGAGAATCATACCCATTCTCAGATTTTTTTCAGGAACATACATTCTTCCCATGCGGAAACATCTCCAGTTTTGGGTTCAGCGATCTCAAAAACATATGGAATGAGTGAGACCCACACACATATAAATCGCAATGAAGTATGATTCTCGCGTATTTGGACGCCACATCGCATCCGCCATCTTGAATCAGTTGAAAAATAGAATCAATAATCATTGTTTATCCTTCGAGTAGTCAAACTCTGTCAATTCAATTGTCCCTGACAGTTGCTCTCTGGACAACATTTTTCAAAGTTCTCCACGGTAAAAAGCCGTCATAGTCGATGAAAAAGTTTTTGTCAACTTTGAGCCGCCATATTTAATTATCAGTTGATAATTCCAAAATTATCCACTCCAAATTCTGAAAGATTAGATTTTTTTACGTGAGAAAGCATGTTTTGTTATTGTTATCATGTGCTTTCATGTGATTTTATCACTCTTCTGAGCCAAAAATCGACTATAAAATATCCGCTTGGGAAGTAACGGGTTAACCCGCTCTACGTCTTCACGACAGCTCTGTAAAAATTGTTCTGGGATACCCAGGGTATCCCTAGTTAAATACATGTGCAAATAAATAGAGCGCGTATGACATGAATGACTAAGGATACCACAGATTTGGAGGAAAAATTAACAAACAAACTGCAAGCGTGAGAGAATGCGTTCTCAAACGAAACGAGTATGAGTAGTCTGCATTCTACAATTCTAAAATAGATTGGTTTAATAACAATGGATAGATTTTACCTGTTATGCAGTTTTAAGCAGATTAATAGAGTGAAGTTTTCAAAGTTTTCAGTCACCAAAAATTTAGCAAACTCAAGTAAAAACCAGACTTCCACGTTGTTCTCTTCTCATTGTTTTGTCATGTCGAAAGGGAAACCGATGATATCGTTGATTAGGAAGAGCCAATGCCACGAGCTTCTCTGTTCTCTGGTCCTAGAACCAAAATATATAAGAAATTGAAACGTTGTCAAATTTTACATTTTGTAACAGGATACTTTTCACAACAAGGACGCTTTAAACAAGCAATTATTGATTAACAATTATCGACACCGATCATATTCGCTTATCATTTCTACGCCAGTGCCAAGTTCCACTACGTCATTGCGGAGCACCCCACGCTCTCCTGCACATGACTATATCTCGCCTGTCTGTCTCTCTCTCTCTCTCTCTCTCCCCCTCCCCCTCTTCCTCCCTTCCTCTCCCTCCCCACTCTCTTCCTCTTTCTCCTTTCTCCCCCCGCGTTCTCTCTCTCTCTCTCTGGCTGCTGATGGGAGGCGCACTGTGCCCACCCATTGGCTGGCTCATGCTCCGTGTCATGGGCGTCGTACCGCTTTCAGTCGCGGCTGACTCGTCGTTGAGGTCGTATCAGCGTATGTTAGAGTTGCAAAGTGCATCGATTCAACGTGCGCGTGCTTTCTCTCGCTCGCTCTCTCTCTCTCTCTCTCTCTCTCTCTTTCTCTCTCTCTCTCTTCTCTCTCTCTCTCTCTCTTTCTCTCTCTCTTTCTCTTTCTCTCTCTCTCCCATATCTTTCGCACTCGCTGTCCCGTATCACATTTGCCTCTTCCTACACACGCTCTCCTGCTCTCTCGAAGAGCTACCGTCCAAAAGGAGCGAGCTACCGCTTTATAAGACTACGGTCCATCCGGTGACTACTTATGTTACGCGTGCAGTTAGACAGCAAACATCGCGACAGGACGAAGGACCGTATTCGGCGAAGGCGGTGAACGGTAAGAGCAAGAGCCCGCCAGAGATCACACGACGGACACAACGGCGTCGAGTAACGTATCGTGTGTCGTAGCTGTCGGTGCCGCCGCCGTTACGGCCGCGGGTTCAGTGTGTGCGCGAACCACAGTGTGCAATATCCTTCCGATTATCGCGTCCGGTCCCTCGCGCCACGTCCGGCGCGAGCGCTTGCGCGCCCGTATAAAATCACGAGAGGACACGGCTTACCTCTGCCCAGCGAAATTCGGCCGGAGCAAACACGGGGAAACACGCCGTCGTGACACGCCTGCCAGATACGTCGAGCGGGATATGGATTGTTCGAAGAACAACATACGTCGAACGTAAGTGATGCATCAGAAAAATCGTCAGCGACAGTCCGCGAACACGTGTCGCGTATTGCCGATCGTCATCGTCGTCGTCGTCGTCGTCGTCGTCGTCGTCGTCGTCGGTCGTCGTCGTCCGTCGTCGTCGTCGTCGTCGTCGTCGTCGTCGTCGTTGCATCGTCGTCGTCGTCGTCGTCGTCGTCGTCGGCGTCGTCCGTCGTCGTCCGTCGTCGTCGTCGTCGCCGTCGTCGTCGTCGTCGTCGTCGTTGTCCGTCGTCGTCGTCGTCCGTCGTCGTCGTCGTCGTCGGGCGTCCGGCGTCGTCGTCGTCGTCGTCGTCGTTGCGTCGTCGTCGTCCGTCGTCGTCGTCGTCGTCATCGGCGTCGTCGTCGTCGGTCGTCGTCGTCCGTCGTCGTCGTCGTCGTCGTCGTCGTCGTCGTCGTCGTCGGCCGTCGGCGTCGGTCGTCGTCGTCGTCGTCGTCGTTGCGTCATCGTCGTCGTCGTCGGTCGTCGTCGTCGTCGTCGGCGTCGTCGGTCGTCGTCGTCGTCGTCGTCGTCGTCGTCGTCGCCGTCGTATCCGCTCGAGAAAGCTTTTCGGTGACAGGTCTCAGGACGGGCAACAGGCAGCCGCTTGTGTTCGCCGAGCTCGTCCCGAAGGATCCACTTCTTCTTCTTCTTCTTCTGGATTGTTCAGTGTGATTGCATTATGCAGTGCGTCGCCTGATCGATTATCGCCAGAGGCGCGAGATCGCCTCGCATATCTGGTGCTCTGTTCTCGGGCTGCCGCGCGACAACGGCTACTCGCAAGTGCTCGCAAATATCAATGCAGCGAGGCCGTAAAGTCGAAGTGCCAAGGGCCTTAATGGCACGCGCATTACGTTCTGTGCATCGCAAATGTGCCACGCATTGTGCTGATTCGTTACGTTTATAGGAAAAAAATTATTCGGAGCATCAACATGTGCTCGAGGTCAGTGCTGTTTTTTGTCCGGTTTACATTAACCACCGCAATCGCAATGTACGGAATGATGAGATGATCGCCGCTATACAGTGTCCGGTTCTTTCGTCGCGCGTTCTTTCTCTTTGAGACGACATGTTTGGTAAGCGTAAGTGCCTTACCTCCACATCCTCACCTCTCTCTCTCTCTCTCTCTCTCTCTCTCTCTCTCTCTCTCTCTCGCACACGCGCGAGCGTATATACAGACATACACGCATAGACATACATAGATAAGAACGTCAATTTTCCGAGGAGTGTCCATTTGGCTGCAGTTTGCGGAAAGAAACAAGAATGATCTCAAGAGCCTTTCGAAAAGTTTCACTATGCTGGGAAATTTGTCACACGGTTGACGATAACATCGGCTTTATCATCGAGAAAGAGACACTTAAAGACAGCTTAATGTCGATCGACACACGTCGGTCTCGCGGCTGTATCGCGTTCCCCGAAACGACGCGTCAATAAATTTGGTGTATGGCGGCGGCGAGAGAGCACGTATTGTCCGTTGTTGGCTGACTGTGTGTGTGTCGGCGAAACGACAAGTCGGTCGATAGTAACATCGTTGGCGAAATGTTTATACCGATGTTGCGCGAGTGTAACGCAATATTGCCGCGCCGTATAAATGCACGCGTGTACCTGCAAAATGTGATTTCGTTGGTGCGACTCGCTCGTATAATTTCACCTTGCAAAATCAATAGTGCCACGCGAATTCGCGAACGAGGCCCTATTCACAGGTCGCGCAACGGATTTGGACGGTCGCGGTTACGCCTGCCTCGTCGTTACGGCAGCACGCAGTGACGCATACCTCTGTGCCTTGTTGTACGTGCTTTGGCGAATCCAAACGGCCAAATTTTCCTTCGCTTCGCGGACGGATTGTATTATTCGCGCGATATTACAGAAAAGAAAAAAAAAGTGTCCGTGTCGTCGTCTCTCACGGATTCTAGTTCGCCCGAGGCGAGGCGAGGCGAGGCGAGACGAGGCGAGGCGAGGCGAGCCGAGCCGAGCCGAGCCTCGCAGGGGCTGCGCGAACATTCGGATATTTATACCGCGCGCGCGCGTGCGCACGCGCGATCGATAACGTCAGAGCCGCCGGCGCCGCTTCCACAATCTTTCCATGCTTCCCGTCTCGCGCTAACTTTATACTTGGCGGAACGCGGTTCGCGAGCGCTAGTGCGACTACTGCGAGCAAAAGTAAGAAGGACCGTTTCAACCTACATGGCTGCTTTCCCAACGTACAACACACACACACACATATATATCGATGCATACGTTATGCGCAAAGCATACGACGTTCCGTCAAATTCTCAATTCTCGAGGAAGCTCCTACCTTGCCTTCGCGATTACCATACGCTGTCGGTCGGAGTGATAGATCGTGGGAATTGACAGAGGCGATGAGATCATCGCGAGAATTCACGGCGCTGAGAGCGGTTCTCGCGTTTCTCGCCAACTACGTACCGTTCGGAAATTTACGCGATTCGCAACGCTCGTGATTCCGCCGCGACGAATTCAAATTCTAAATAACGCGCGAAATATTCCGGATTGGGGGGGAGGGATCGGAGGGAATTGCTAAAAATATTCCGCAATTTGAATACTACCACGCTTTTTGACTGCAAAAATCAGGTTTGCCTTTCAGTCTTTCTCTTCTTTCTTACCTCGAGCTCGTGGACTCTCGCAACTCGCTACTCGCGAGTGTGTTCAAATGTTTGGCTTAACGTTTCTGAGAAATATCGTACGCGCGTGTGCGCGCAACGTCCCGTCGGAGATGAATAAGCGCTACGTTACGTAGCGCTTCTCCTTTACGTTGCCAAATTTTCGCAGAGTCGTTGAAAGCCGCACGGCCGACGTCGACTTTGCCAGCCGAGAGAGAGAGAGAGAGAGAGAGAGAGAGAGAGAGAGAGAGAGAGAGAGAGAGAGAGTGAGAGAAGCGCGTTGAATTTGTTGAATTCGGTGGTAAAAGGTTTCTTTCTTGAGCAACCGCCGCGCGCGACTTCGAGGATATCAAAGAGTTCTTTTCTTCGGCCTTGGGCGCTCCCGCTGGCGCCGTGAATATACGACGATGCATAAGGGACATAATACCGAGTAAAAAACATGACGAAGCGCGGAAGAGTGTAATTTTTCCCTCCGCGGAAGTCTACGTTTTACAATGATACCGCGATACGATTTACCCGCTCGCAGAGAATCCTAGAAAAGACTTCTCCTCACTTGCCCTCACGCGTTGCCCCATGCGTTTTAATGATGCTTACGGACGCAACGCGACTCATCATCAGCATAATCATCTCATATCCCATCTCGTTCATCTTGATCGATTTCCCAGCCGTTCTCCCGCGAAACCTAACGAAAATGTCACGAATGAGCATCGCGCGAATACGAAGACGGACCTTGAAGTTTGAACTTTCAAGTCAGGGGGTGGGCGGGCGGGGGAGGGGGGGGGAGAAAGCTTTACTTACCGCCGGTATCGCGCACGCAGCGCTAAAGGTTATGCGACAATGCGCGGTAATTGAAATTTCAACATGTGCCGCGTCGTACGGCAAAGCGACGCAAAGCGAGGTGTTGTGAATAGGCACGAAGCCTAAAATCACATCGCGTTCGCAATCGCAAGAAGTTAACATTTCCTATCGTCCGTGTGTGCCGCCGCAAGCAGCGCGGATTATCTCGGTCGAGAGAGCTCAGGCAGAAGCGCGCGCGCGCGCGCGCGCGCGCGTACAGGCCGGCCTTTCTCTCATTCATTATTCGTGCCGATTCCTCGCGTTTACTCCAAGTTATGACCACGCTCTCGGTTGCATCATAAGTCGTACGCCAACAATGTTGTCGCGCAATCAAACGACGGAGACGCGCGTTTGTTCTCCTTGCGAACAGGGACGCGCATTGTTTCTCGCGCAGCGACGTCTCGCCTGTCTCGAAAAATCAAAGAAGAATCGCGCCATTCCTGTTAGTCGTGACGCGTAACGCGTAATGTTGTTGCCTGAATTTTTTCCCTCGGAAATTCTGCAGTGTCTCTTTTCGCCGACACTTTGGATCGACACTGGTGTTCGTTTTTACTTCACACGGACGTGATTCTAAATTCTACTCTTTCGGACAAAGAAACACTCGGGTGTAAAATGTTGAAAGGAAAAATGAACAAGTTTATCGTTATTGATGACACCCGCCGCGCGAAGACCACTCGAAGACAGCTTTGTTCCGTCGAGGTTACAAAACAAATGTGGCGAAAAGATGAAAGATTCTCTTTTGGCCACTCATCGAACGCATCAAGTATACCTTTCTCAAGCTGAAACAATGTTGTGTTACACGCCGTTGGTAGCCATTTGACATTTTGGCCCCGAAAACGAAAGATGATGTTGAGATATTTTGATAATTATTATACGAGACACGTGTTATTTGAGAAATGAGATACAATTATCATAACCAATGACAACCATGGACCATTGACGGAGAATCCGTGTAGTGTGTGAACGACGAGTCACCGTAAAATCAGTCCGGCGTGTCTCTCAAAAGAGCCGTCTCTGATCCGTGTTACGAGTGAAACTGCCGACCCAAGAATGACCAAAAGTTTTATTCGATGGAAGGTAGTCGGTCGGTCGGTCGGTCGAGCGAGCGAGCGAGCGAGTGCGATGAGTTAGCAGCATGACACCGCTCGCTCCACGGTCGGAACAATTATGAAACAAAGTTCCACGAGTTCCACGAGGAGAGCGCGTACAGGGCAATATTAGAATCATATTGGCACTCTCGTTATAATAACATTTCACGGTGGCGGCTAATGCGCGACGGCGAATCAAATTAAGGAAGTTTGTTATTGGCACGCGGTGTTTAATAACAAAACAATCGCGGGCGGCGGGCATCAGCCGTCACACGAGAACCGACCGATCGCAAACGCGCACGTGTGTGCGTGCGTATGCGCAGGGAATCGGGATAACAACGCGTTCTAAATATATATTCTCGCGTTAAGATGAATATGCGCCGTGCGCGTTACGTGTCCGCGTAAAATCGTGACGCGCGTCAGCTGACCGATACGTGCCCGACACATAACGCAGTCGACGATAATGTTACCGCTGCAAATTCAATCGTCACGAATATATCGGACGTCCGATATTACACGCGCCCGCACCAGGTTAATCTTCCTGAGACTTTTCCAATCGATAGCTTTCTCTCTCTCTCTCTACTTCTCTCTCTCTCTCTACTTCTCTCTCTCTCTCTCTCTCTCTCTCTCTCTCTCTCTCTCTCTGTTTGGCGGAGCATTTTGCGACGACAAGCGTCACCGACACACGAGAACGATGACGGTGCATTTGAAATTTAGAAAACATAATTTCACACGCAATTTTCTGGCGAAAGTATACAATTTAAAAAAAAAGAAAATGACAAGAGCGAGACATGTTGGATAATAAGAAAAACGTGTTTTAGAAGAACGAGTTTTCGCGACTCTGGCGTACGTATACGTCGAGCTTCGACAACCAACAGATATTTGCCACATTGCGCGAAACATTGGTCTTTTAACATTGATCCGTTATGTTCATAAACAATTATCGCCACGCTCGCGCGAGAAACATTGCGACGCGACGCGCAGGAGGCACTTGCGCGCCACTTTTAACGTTGCCGCGGTATTGTCCTAACGAACTAGGCGCTAAATCAATGCGAGACGCGCGCCGTAAATCTGAGCGGGCGGGCCAGAGTTAGGCAATATACGGAGATTCCGTGCGAATTTACGAGCGGTGCTTGTCGATATGAGCAAAAAGAGGAGAACCCTGGCGCGCGCAGGGTCGCGCGGACTACTCTTTTGTGGCTGAAAATTTCCACGGAGCAGCCGTAGGGGTAGAGAGGAATGAGAAGAAAGAGAGAGAGAGAGAGGGGGGGGGGAGATGAGGGAAAATCGATGAGTCGTTCGGGAAGAGATGCGATAAATTTTCCACGGCATCGCTGTGACCGCAAGAAAGTCGCCGAAAAAGCTCTTCGAAAGGAACGACCGACCGATGCGCGACGAGAAAGAGTCGGGCTGCGGCAGGCGGACGATCGTATGGCAGAGAGGAGGGCAATAGAGAAGAAGGCGCAAGCGAGGGGTAGAGGAGGTCGCTCGATCGACGAGTAACGAGAGCTTACGGGGTCAACGGCTTCTCCACCTTGGGCCAGTGCCGTGGCGAGGGAACCCGTGCGTCCTCTGGGACATTCGATGCACCGGGCGTGCAGGGCTGTTCCGTCGTTCGTCGTTGATTTCGTGCGGGAAACGAAGATACTGACTGGACTGAGTGCAGCACAATGTGAATGTCGATGGCAGTATTTCTCCGGTTAACGTTTTCGTATTATAATTGTTCGGTCATCCGTGTTATTTACTTCATTCGTGGATTATCCGCGTAAAATGTTGGTCGAGAAATTCAACTTTACGCTCAAATCGTTAAAACGTTAAGTGCGTCCGGATGTGTGCGAGGAAAGACATTTTTGCCGAATAAATTTATATTTCGAACTAAACGTAAGAGATTTTGCGGCAATTTACAAGAACGGAGCGAGAGAGCGAGAGAGAGAGAGAGAGAGAGAGAGAGAGAGAGAGAGAGAGAGAGAGAGAGAGAGAGAGAGTGAGGAGGGGGGGCAGTCAGAGAAACGGTCGGAACTACCATTTAACATTTATTCCGCAACATTTCTCGCGTCGTTTGACGACTTGAAATTTGGTATAGTGAACGTAGCGAGAGTCGAGCGACACGGGATATTTGGAAAGCACTCGCCCTTGTAATTCATATTGCACACAGTGCATTACACCGCTTGGCCGCTGCGTTGCTGGAATGCTGTAACCTCACCTCCAGGCAAAGACGAATATTCGTCAAACTTTTGTCTCACTTTCGAAACGACACAATCAAACGTCGACTATTACACGAGAGTTTCCTGATGTTGATTTTAGTCCAGATAACTGTAAAGTGTGTCGCGTTTTCCTCTTTTTACCGCGAATAACTTTAAAAATTCCCACGACTTCCTTCGTATACCAGAATATTGGCATTTCTAACCTAGATTAAGATCTTTTATTCAGCTCAGAATGCCTGATGCGATAGGTATTCTTAGATACAAATTTCTTCGTTGCTCCCGACAAAGAAAGAGACATTTCGAAATTCACGTCGTAGATCTATATCTCGAATTTCTTTTTCACCTAGGTCATATATTTTCTTTATTTCACTTCGAGTGAAATAACTCCGTCCTCTAACCGCATCTTCCATCACGTTTCACCGATATCGGGAAAGACGAATATATTCGTCTAATTCATCGTGCGTATCTAGCTAGAGTTATCAGCTTGCTTCGTATTCGAAATTAGCAAATGTCTGAAGTGAAAAATTTCTCGACCAATCGTCGAAATTTGCGACGAGTTTTCTTCAGTTAAGAGGATGCTCCACACACATGCAGCGCCGCTAGCTTCGATACAAGTGAAGCCTCTATCTTGATCAGGACTTGGATCTGCCCCGAGAAATCATGTCGAAAACAACGAAAGCGATACCTAATCCCTTTGTCCGTGTGTTTCGCGCTTTTCATTTATATTCTGCCAGAGATAAGAATTCCGAGTGAATATTTGCTACTTTCAAGTACCATCGCGCACGACTGCGCGTTATAATATAATATACGTGTGCCGTCGTTTGAACACTGAGAGATCGTTTTTGTCAGAGAAAGATGTACCGCGCTCGAAAGTATAATCCGCGATTACACTTTCCTCGTAAAAAGATCACAAAATGGAATCGCATACTCGGAAATTTTAGCGATAAGATAAGAGTGAAGACGCGAACAACGCGAACAACGCGAATGCGCGCGAGCACCGGTGATTGTCTGTTGAGACACTTATGCAGAGCGTCTGACAATCGATGATGAGCACAACGCTTGCGTATGCGAGCAGAGCGGATCGAATTAAGCGAGAAAATCGCCGAATCGTCTTGCACATTTCGCGATAGTTGTCCGCGTCATCACCGAAAGACCGTCAACTGTCATCGAGAGTCATCCAAGATGAGAATCCGCTCGCTCGTTTACAGAGCTCGTCCGCTGCCGTTTTCTTCTAACACAATCTCTAATATTGCCTAATTTATTTATATTGTTCTAATTCCTTGATAGTTTTATTACAACGTTTGCAAAACAGTGGATGGTCGTTTAGGCTATCTTGGATAAGTCTTTAGGCCTTTAGATCTGCATATAACGAGCGTTATATCGTTAATTATCAGACACTCTGTATAACCGCGTAACAGCATGTACGACACCACGTGTTGTTACGTAGCTAATGTTGGTTCCTTGGTAATGGAACACCCGACGAAAGAAAGACGTCCCTGCCGCCGCCGCCCCCCCCCCCCCGTCCCGTTTCCTTCTCGGCGCTCTCGTGCACTCTCCCGGTTTGTCGGCGGCGGGCATTGATCGCCCTTAATCCCGGAAACCGGCAGAGTGCGGACGACCAAGTGCATTGACCTCCAACGTAACGAACGTCGGTCTGTCCGACCGCGACCTGTCAAATGACCTGTCGAAAATCTTCACCGTTCTCGAGTATATCGTCTCGATTTTTCTCCCGGTAGATAAGTATCTTCAAAATGAGACGATCGTTAATCCTGTGCGCAGTCTCGGGCCGTTAATGGCATATTTCTCGTCGGTCAGTCGATCAGTTGGTCAGTTTCTTTTCACAACGAGCAATACCCACCAGTTAATCGCCGACAAGACGCGACGAATGTGCCATTTTCTGCCTTGCCATTTTCTGAATAAATTTCTGCATTCTCATGCAGAATAATATATTTCCGATAGATTTTATTGTTAGATTAAGAGGCGAACAGTGAAGAGCAGCTGGGAATGTCCCAACTTGAGACAAAGGCAAAGGATTATATAATTTCTCAAATCATGCTCACGAGTTTGACCAGTACGAAAGCACAGGAAAGATCAAAATTTCAATCGCATCGAAAGACGCGTATATTACCTGATATGCAACATACGACAAGCTTACTTTGTACACAACTGTGGATGTTTTCTTTGTATGCGGTGCGATGCGATGCGACGCGACTGTGCGACGTGACCCATCGTTTCGCGCTATAAATATTAACGATAAGTTGATATTATTAATTGATAGATCACAAGTTTAATTATCGCACCTTTTACGTACGCGTACGCGTAATATTGAATGCGAGAGTAATCAAATGCCGATTAATAACTGTCTACTCGTTTATCATATGACACGACGAATTTTTTCTTTCGAAGGCGTACAGAATCTTATCTTCCTTAAAAATTTGTCTCATTTTTCATATTATGAAAACATGGTCGGTCGATAATCATTGATTGACGAAAGCAAACAACTGTTATTTGCAGTTTTAGCGCACACATTTCGTACGCCTAGTGTAAATTCAGATCATTCTGTAACATTTTTCCCATTAAAAATCCATCGCGATGTACGTTTTCCCGCGGCGAGCGAGAGTTCGCGTTTTTCTTTTCTTTTCTTTTTGTTTTTTAATATGATTTACGCACGCGACGCGGGATTATATACATATGTAGGATGTAGCGCAAAATGTACTGAGCACCTGTGAAATGACAACTTTTGTATGTTTTTTTTTTTTCAGACTGGACCGTTTCGTACCGAGCAAAAATGAGGACACGAGGTACATGTATTTGCCATTTGCAGCACGAAAGACGTCTTTAAGCTATATCCTATCAACACACGCCTATCACCTTCGCCTTTTCCGAGCTTTTTAGATCTCATAGAAATCGTAAGATGCACCGTTGCATTCAATTTGCAGCAATAACGCTTTCCATCTCTTTCTTTCGTTTCTCTTCTATTTTCTCACCGATGAAGGAGGAAATACGTAGCGTCTACGCGAGACGTACAAGCATCGCTCGATTTTGCCCCTTATCTAATGACAATTCCCTAAACAAACGCTCACACACGATCAACTTTGGAGCAGCATAATCATTGTCTTCCGCTCAATGTCCAACTTTATGACGCTTTGTATTTCGAAACACGTTGAATAATATTTTTAATTCGCGTTATTCGCGCACGAGCCGATTTTTATAGAAACAAAAACGTTAACGTCACATTCCGCTTTTACGGTGCCGAATGAAATTCAATTAATCCTGGAAAAGCTATTTCGTTGAAATGTAGAGCCGAATTCCCTCCCGCTTTAACGTAATTGTCAGTTTTATGGTCGGCTGTTTGATTTACTTCGGCATACGCGCTAAACGTTTTCGTGTTGTTTGACCGGGATCGACAGGGCGGAAGCGCGTCCTGTCGAGAGACTCGTAGTTTAAAAAAGTTCTTCCCGATACCTAGGCCTGTTTCGAATCGCAACAGAGAGTGGAAGGAAGTAGAATGCTCTTGCAACTGAGCTACCCATAAACACCATGCTACGATATATATATATATATATATATATTATCTTCCTTTTATTCAAGACAGGAAGCGATGTTTTCTCAAGACATATTTGCTACATCAACTGATAAGAGAAATTAGAAATTAGAAAAAGTACATATCAGGCACATCAAAAGTTTATTTAAAGTCTTAAAAATGGATGTATATTGGTTGAATCAACTTTTGAGACAATTTGCAGAAGAGAGACGAAAGCAGTACATACTCGTATGTGTGTGTGTGTATGTGTGTGTGTGTGTATCGGGCATATGAGTAAAGCTAGGCCGGGAATCGAACACCCGGGATCTTTCACTTGCCAGGCGATGTCTCTACCAACTGAGATATAACAAAGTGCCATGTTTTGTTGTATTTTTCTCTCCCCCCCCCCCCCCCGCTTTCTCTTATACTTGGATTTTATGTCAAAACGATGCACTTGCAGGGACACATAATATGATATTTAAAATACCAGTCATGTGCAAAAACGGTTTATATGAAAGTTGTAGTGTATTTCATATTCTTTGCAACTGTATATATGCAGATTTGGCAAAATTGAAAAATTTTTGAAACTTCCTCCGTCCTTCTCCAATTTTGTAAATTTCATATTTTAAAAGATATACGCTAAAAATGAAAATGGTTTTTTTTTTCTTCGAAGGGTGCTTTCACCCCCTCAGACTGGAATTCCCCACAAACAAAAAATAGTTTTGCATTACGGATGAACTATTTTATTTCGAGACAAAGTTTAAGAATTTTTTGAATTTCCGCCTTCCCTATCTTTCCTTGTGAGTCGTGAGATTCAAACTCGGAAGTACTAAACTGCTTAAGCGCGCGCACGCATGTTACGCTTCACATTGTACATGTATTCTGTCTTGTTCTTATACCGCATGTTACGTGCGCTCCGCGCATAATGTCGTCGCGTCATCTGACCCGAGCAAACAAGGATATTTGTTAACGCGTGACAGCAGCTACATTGATCTGCACTGATTCTTTCAATGTTCAATTCAAGTTTAACTCACCAAAGATGCAACGAGTAATTAAAATTTACGCATATATTCGTTAGCCCGAGGTTCATTGACTCTCTATCGTATTTAATAAATATATTTAAGTCATATATATATATATATATATACTACAATGTTGTGTTTACACTTTATATCTCACACGACGAGACGTGGTAATATTACGTTCGTAGAGTTTTGATCAGAGGTCACAAGCTGAAATATGCTCTATTTAGCATGTACTATAAGCACTGTTGAAATATTCGACACTAAGTTTCAAGCTGCCCGATACACGAAACGAATGCTCCTCGTGCAGGAAAAAGCGAGAACGGACAGAAATGAAATAGGGAGCGTTGCCTCGTGCGCGTTAATTAAAAGTGCTGCAAAGGAAGTCGCCAACTAAGAAGGGCGAGGCTGAATGGAAAACAGCTGCCACTCGATGACGACACGGTCTAAGAGTGCGCTCAGTCCCAATTCCCAAGTCCCTATCCCCCGCCGTATCGTTACTTTCGCATGCGCAAACAGGCGCGAATATTAACCCCTTCGCGACAAATGACTGCTCTCTCTCTCTCTCTCTCTCTCTCTCTCTCTCTCTCTCTCTCTCTCTCTCTCTCTCTCTCTCTCTCTCTCTCTCTCCTCTCTCTCTCTCTCTCTCTCTCTCTCTCTCTCTCTCTCTCTCTCTCTCTCTCTCTCTCTCTCTCTCTCTCTCTCTCGCTCTCGCTCTCGCTCTCGCTCTCGCTCTCGCTCTCTCAACACTGATTATTTCACGAGTAATCTTTACAAAAACTGCAAAACACGTCATGTGACGAGACAACTTTTGTTGTCCGAGGTTGCCGTTTCATTCATCATCTTGTGTGATGACGGTAGAAATCCATGTTAAAAATTCCTACGAATTACATATCGAAATAAAGAGACATACTCGCAAAATGATGACATTTGCCATCGATTGAGCACATTTTTAATATGCTCCGAAAAAATGCTTGTCCTTTGTCGAAGCGATCAATAAATGGGCGAGAAGTCAAATCACGTGACAAAATAAAAATGAGGAAAGATTGGTTTAGGAAAGGAGGTTGTCAATATATCGTGTCAATTCAATTTCACTGTTATTCAGATTCCGATTATTAGAGCAAAAGAAAAGTCTCTGGATCATTTGAGAAATGTATCTATTGCAAGTGCCATCTTATGAACATATCTTTTTTTTATTTCGACGTTTATTTAATTCGTAGGAATGAATTCGTACTATGAATTTCTTTGCTCCGACGTCATCAACCAAAAAAAAAAGTTAAACGGCGAAGGCAGTCAGGAGCCTTTAAAGTCTCTTGATTGTTTGTGTGTGCCACACAATACTATTAGGAGTACAAATAAGTTTCCGCCGTTTGACAAAAGATGGCCCCACCGGGAAGGTTATGTTGAAATTGTCAGATGTAAAACGTAATATCGTAAGTTTGGACATCTGGTAACAACATAACCTTGAAGTATTAGTGACTCCGTATCAGCATCACTTTTTCGTGCGAAAATGTCAAGTTTTGTGCCGAATAAGCGTCATTTGCGGGAACTTTTGATTTACTTTTTTAATTTGCAGAAATCTGCAGCTGAGGCGCATCGATTGCTTGTAGAAGCGTATGGTGGGACTGCTTTAAGTGAGAGAAGTTGTCGTGAGTGGTTTCAAAAGTTTAAAAACGGTGAGATTGACGTGGAAGACAAAGAACGTAGCGGAAGGCCGAAAGTGTACGAAGACACGGAATTGGAAGCATTATTGGAGGAAGATTCGTGCCAAACGCAAGAAGAACTTGCACTTACATTAGATATTGATTCAACAAGCAATTTCACATCGTTCACATTTAAAATCGTTGGGAATGATTCAAAAACAAGAAAATTGGGTTCCATATGAACTGAAGCCGAGAGACGTTGAATGCCGATTTTGCACGTGTGAAATGCTGCTTGCCAGGCATAAAAGAAAGGGTTTTTTGCATCGTATAGTCACTGGTGATGAAAAATGGATCCATTACGACCAACCCAAAGAAGAGAAGATCATGGGGACCACCTGGCCATGCTTCAACATCGACAGCCAAACCCGAATATTCATGGAAAAAAACTCATGCTGTGTATTTGGTGGGATCAGCTTGGTGTCGTGTATTATGAGTTGCTCAAACCGAGCGAAACCGGACTTACTGGAGCTCTCTACCGAACACAATTAATGAGATTGAGCCGAGAACTCAAGGAAAAACGCGCCCATTACTACTCCAGACACGACAAAATTATTCTCCTACATGACAACGTTCGGCCACATGTTGCAAAACCGGTCAAAACCTATTTGGAAGCACTTAATTGGGAAGTCCTACCCCACCCGCCGTATTCACCAGACATTGCCCCTTCCGGTTATCACTTGTTCCGGTCGATGGCACATGGCCTGTCTAAGCAGCGCTTTACATCATATGAAGATACTAAAAATTGTGTCGATTCGTGGATAGCCTCAAAAGATGAAGAGTTCTTCCGACGTGGTATCCGAATGCAGCCAGAAAGATGGGAAAAAGTAGTGGCTAGTGGTGGACAATACTTTGAATAAAACGTAATGTACCGTTCTTTCACGATAAATTCCTAATTTTCGATAGAAAACGGCGGAAACTTATTTGTACGCCTAATAGTTGCAGAATAGATGCGAGAAATATCACAATCGTCCCGCTACTATCTCTTATGATAGTGCGATGGGCTGGCATTTTTCTAACAGAACTGAACGGAGCCACGTGATACGCGCTGCGTATCATTGACACGATGAAGAATCTATTTACCAGGTCGAAACAGATCTGTTCTTCTCACGGTTCAAAGACGGTCAACCGCGTTGTCACGAGATATTTAAAGCCAGAGTGTCGACGATTGGCGGAGGGGGGGGGGAGGGGAGGACGAAACGTTGTCGACCTGTTCTCATCGCGCTCAAGCGTGACACGTTTTAATAATACGTGCAAAGGGACGGTTCATTCAAAATTATGCTGGTGAAGAGGCGAGTTGATCGAAGGATTTCATAAGACTAGACTCGCACTATTCGTCTAGACGGGGTAAACGGGGGGCTGGTCACTATCAAGAGCCCATCATTTTCTTTTCTTACCCCGAAAATGGCTATGGAGATGTGACGGTGACGAATACTGTGCGACTGAGAATTGCGACAGTGTCTTGCCGTCCAGACAAACAGTACGAATTGAATGGATGCGGAAGAAGAGCGTACTTACGACCGATTTTTCTTCAGATTCGTCAAAAGTTTTCGGGT